AACTTGTAATGGGTTATTTGGCACTTAAACGTACGTGGAACTGACTCTGAAATACAACTACTTTGTTCATTACTCGAATAAATGTATCCAGGTAATTTCCAGTCTATTGAAGAGGAGACAATGAAACTCCCAATTTAGGGAATTGAGATGATCGGGTGCAGAAACATCCAGATTTAAAGGCCAAGGGTTTAATATGCTTTGCGCAACCTAGACAAGGACTTCTATTTCCAAGTATGTAGAATAGTCTCGTGGCGGGCTAAACCCTAGGGAAGAGAAATTCTAATAGGAGAGGTAATCTCTCGAATTGAACACCCTGATCTCCCATAAACAGCTCTTATAACCTCGAAAGCAACATTCACTTGGTGTAGCACTTGAGCTTTTGGAAAAAGTAATGATTGAAACCCAGTAAAAAGGTGAAATTGCTCCTTTCTCTACGGAAAATGTCTAATATAAGAACTAAAGCAATATCGTGTCGTGATTTATATGTTATTTTATAAATTCCTACGGATTTAGTTCCATCGTAAAATTGCGATTCAGAGTTAAGAAATGGTACTAATTCGATGATTGAGTTTTGACTGTTACTTTAAAAATTTTGACAAGAAGATGTTGAGAAATCTGTTCATCTACGCGTAAGCACATCAGAACGTTTGTGGCAAACCGCGGACAGCAATGACTCCTAATGAAAGGGTGAACTGGAAATGGGGGAGGGGTGGATTTCAAAATTCTGAAAGTCAGAAATCTTGCTACATTTCAGATGCTTTCAATATGTTCCTACTGGAAGGGAATCGAAGTAGCCTCTACTCCCTAGGATAATTTCTTGAAGAGTTTGAAGAACTGATTACTCTATGTACTATATTAACAAGACAGTGAGTGATTTTCCCATAGAATAAAAGTAAGCACTCGTCTCGTTTAATTTGAAATTAAGACCACCGACCAAATAACATTATTTGATTCGAATATGTTCTACTTTATTTTCTAAATACCCAATAAATAAACGAGTTCTAAAATCTTCAGGTTTTGAATAAGGGTCATTGAAGTTACCTGTGGTGACAGCACAATTAATAGAATTACAGGAGGAACGTCAAAAATCGCTTTTCTTCGCGAAATTTAAATAACATTAATTTCAAATAATATTTGGATTTTTGAAGTAAATAGGTACTTATAAGTAAGTTACTAATTCAGTTCAGAGTTAATATCCCATAAACGGTTTAGTATCATTCTATCTCACTTTAATTAAAACAACGAAAGTTTGTAAAAAAATTGTCAACAAGTAGAAGTGATTATCGTGGACAGTCACTGCCTCAGTAATCCAATGAGAAACTGTAGCAGTTGAAATTTTGAACGCGATATGTCCTTTTCGAAGGTAGGTAAGATATTTCTATCACAAACTTGTCATTCTTTACCCGCATATCATTTACTGGAAAATTTATTTATCCATTTCAATTGGTCTTCCTCCATAAATAACAGTGAATTTTAAACCTTGCGGTTTGGTCAGTATTTGTTAATGGGTAAATATTGAAGAAAGATTTTATTACCACAGATTATCACGATGGGTGAGATATAACACAGTCCAAAGGAGGCTTAGAAGCTTATTTCGGTGGGTAAAGTTCATTTGCCAGATGCTAAATAGTAAAGTAATAGATGCATACTTACTTAAGGCGTTAAGAGATCAATATCACCATAACTTCACTGTTCTATTTACTTTAAACCTATCAATATGGCAATAACATATCGTCAAAGACATTACCCAAATAAATAAATCGCAATAAATTTGGTGCTTCCACCTTGGCTTTTACAGGAAATATTCGATTTTACTGTGCTAGGACGTACGTTGAGAGCTCATTTGGGTTATAACTCTTGAATATTATAGAATAACAGCTATTAGGTAGAGAAAAATCAAAATAAACCCTGTTAGCAAGATCAAGCATGAAATTGAATCAAATTTTGATAAGTTTTAAAAATTGTGGATACAAGCTAGCCTATTGAGCATAGTGAATGTGAACATAAAGACATAACTTAGTGAAATTTACTCCAAATGGAAATATGGGTTGCTAAGTTATGTCCAGGTGCATTCAACATTGAGGTTCAGGCTTTAGTACTAACATCTGCACCCCTTCGCTGTTTCAAATAGTACCAAACGTGTTCGCTGTTGCCACGATAAGACATATAAAAGCTTCTGGAATACAGTGGACAACGTAAGTAACTCATGTTTAAAGAGATAAAATTAAAATAAACTATATTCTCGCTATTTTTTATGGTACTACACATTTACCAAACACTGGGATCAATACAAATAAGGAACGGTTTTGTTAAAAACAGTTTCCAAAGGGGCGTTGAAAGTCTAATCCATATAATGAAGCTGTCATGAAAAAATAGAATGTTAATATGAGTTCAAATGAATGGTCTCAAGACAGATTTTAATTCGTTCAAAGGCCTAATATTTTAATTAGGTGAATTTGAAGTAGATACGACTTAAGTAAGCCTTTGGCTAAACCTTAGTAATCCTTCTGTTAGTCCAACTAGTTGCAGTAAACTACGACAAACCTATAGCAAAATCCTGCTCAATAAATCGGCTATTTCCAAAGTTAGGCAATTGTGAGTACAATTTATGCTAAGCTACAGGGGTAGTGATAGTTGATAGGTTTGGACACCTCAGCACGCACACTCGCGCCTTTTCGATACACGATTATAGCACGCATGCTCTTTATAGAATGTTATAGATCACGCAAAACCATGTAGAACGGCTTTGGTGGGCGTTTTCCACTCCACAACCCCCGTTTCCGGTTTAAATCTCAGTCTGAGGACGATAACCTTGAATATACCTTTCATATAAAATCTGAAAGGAATGACAAATTGATTTCATCGCAATAGGAAGGTGTATAACAGGCTTCCAGCATGTTCATGCCACGCATTCTTTTTATGGAAAAAGAATAATTTGAGCTTTTCATGCCTCAAGTCGATCTAGGAAATTCACTGAATAGGACTAATTTTAGTGCCTTGTTCAGAGAACTCTCCCTTATGAAATCACACGTGACGACCACCGAAAAAGTTCTTGGAACGTTGTGAAAGCCTTTGAATTGCCAATACCACGCATTTTATATGCATTATTCTCCAATTCTGAAAACTTGATGCCAACTGGTTCTAGCATAAAAGGAATGCTATTTAAAACTCATGTATGAAATTAATTAACAATGGTACATACGCGTTATTGAAAGTGCAGCTAGTCATTCATTTTATTCAAAAATTACCTATGTAATAATAAACCAGAATTTCTCCTTTTAGTTAGTTTTGATAAAGCTGAACTAGAAGGGGATAATTCAAAATTGAATTTCTGTTTCGGACAACTTAGTGTAATTAAACAAAATTCACATTGTAGTAAAGTTTATTGTTAACGCCTAAATTTTTGAAATCGACTAATATTATCAGTGAAAACATGGAAAGCAACTTACCTTTTATTTGACTCAGAGAGACCAGAAATTCTGTACTTTAAAAAATGTGTCATCCTCCCTTTATTTCACGCGAGCATTTAAGCATTTGAGAGAACTTTGAATTTGAAATTACAAAATAAGTTTCAGTTTGTATCTACTCAAAGGCTGCACACTTTCTCTATAAGTCATGCCTCGGGGTGGAGGGTGAGGGAGGGAACCCGAAGATCGGCCTTATAGTAGTGTCAAGGAGAAATGTTTGTCAGTTATTGTGGGAGGGTCATAATGGAAAGTTGACGGTTCTTGATAGGCCAGGCTTTAATTTAACTTTTAATTACGGAGCCTTATGGGTTATTGATTAAGGTTTCTGTGTGATCACATTTTGAGCTAATAAGGATTTTGGTTTTAGAATTTTGTTGTATCCAGAAGGATTCCATTTTGCCACTTGGCGCGTTTTGGATATATGCATACATTATGTTTGCAAACCTTCTATTTATAATGGTGAGCTACAACCGGTATAATTCAACATTACAACACGTTCGAGACATTAAAATTTCAATCTTCAAGAAAAGATCAGCGTTAAATTGAGCAAGTCTTCAATTATCTTTCGCTTCAAATTCTGTAGTGACACAGTTATTATTATGTGAAGTCATATGACACACTTTCAGGTTTTTAAGGAAACGTGAAAAGTAGAAAAGAGGAATGCACATGAACTAAGTTGAGAGCCTTCATTTTCTATGCACAGAGCCATCTTTTTTTCAATTTCTGCTTTTAGAAATGCAATTAATGTCTGATCAGCAGCTTTTTATCGCAGTGAAGTGCATTTGTTATGTGAATTATTGAACTCCTTCTTCATTTTTCTTTCTTCCTGAACTTAGGCAATTACAGGCGTCAAAAGTCTTCGGTAAAAAGGTTGAAAACAAAAAGTTCAGTGCTTATTGAGGATAGACAATGAATGGCGTTTTTAGTGCAAGAGATAGAATTATTAATTTATTCAAGTACGCAACCGGAGATCTTGTTAAAAATCTAAAATTTGTTTTTTTTTCATATATCTATATTTTTATTTAAATCATGGCTATCTGTTTTATTTCCTCTTCTCCTCAGATCGAATACAATTGTTGCGACATTCAGACACACGAATGATGAACGCTGTGACCTTGTCCTGCAGTTTATTTCTGACGCTTGTAAATACCCCTAATTGCATAAGATGATGTGATCCATAGAGGATATTCTCTCTGAAGTCTTCTGGACCTATTTTTCTCAGTTCCTAATTCAATGCAGTTTGAATCTAAGATAGAAATAGAAATTTATCTCTGGCAGTAAGAGCGGTCCCAATGAGTTCATTTGCAAATTCGAAAGACCATTTTGATGTATGATAAAGACATCTTTTTTTCTGAAGGTTATGCTCAATTCAGAAGGTACAAAATGCATAGCGAATTGTCTCTAGAGTCCTAGAAGGGCGTGACGAGGAAGTTTTTGGAGATTACACGCAGAGAGTAAGTAAGGAAACAGAAACGAGTTGAGGTAAAGTAGAAATCACAGTGTCTTATTTGGCATTTAGAAGAGGCGAGAATACTACTCAGTTCCTGTGAGCAAGTTCCACTCCTTCGGAGGCACAATTACATCAGCTTCTACTAAAATAGCCAGAACCATAAAAATAGCATATGTTGTTAGTAGAACAATGCCGTAACTTCGGCGCATCTGGAATCTTGTGGCGAAAGCAACAATAAGATTCATCATTAAGACCCCAATTAAGAAGGAAAATAGGAGAGCATGGGTAAGAGTGAAGGACATCTAGGGGAAAAGAATTAATTCATTAGAACTCCTTCCGAGTATTTTACTACCATTCTAGTCATATAGTAGAGCGATGACTTACATCGGCCTTGTGGTCACCTGAACGAGCTAATTTTATGGTGTACGAGGCGCCAGCGCCTACAAGTAGGTTGAAAAGTGGTGAGCCAATGCAAGCGGCAAAGGCGATTCGGGGATAACCATTGTGTGCCAATAATGAATTGGACATTAGGTCTGTAAATGAAAAATATATGCGGGATAAAGATTTCACTCATCTCTGAACTAACATGAACATCTATGCTAAGATTTTGCCTCAATTAAAATGCATCAATAATGGCACTTCGGAGGATAAAAGTAGGTCAAAGCAATATGGCCGGTAATTCGATTAAATCGACTAGTCAATACCCCCCCCCCTCAAAAATATCACGGATATTAATGTACCCACTTGTATAATTTTTAGATCATGAATGTTAAGGTTGCGGACAGTAGACACGTATATTTTGCAAATGATTTCTCCTTATTATAATCGTCAATAAACCGTCTTGATGTATCAAGAGTAAATAGGCATGATTGCCATATAAATTGTTAATGGGTTGAGCTTTTTCGTTTACCTGCTCAAACCAGTAATAGAAGGCGTTTATAACGTCGAAATTTGTTCCGATCATTTGAATTCCTTTATTTTAGTTTTTATAAATCTCTTTTGTAAATGATAACAGATTATCATACACTAGGATCTAACGAAGAATATATATATTACTTAGTCAAACACGTCTTCCCTATAGGGCTTATTCAATCGCAAAATATTGATTGAATTAGAGTCCTGTCTTGCACATTAGAATTGCTAAAGCGAAATCCACACGCCTTTCTCTCTCTCTCGCTCTCTCACTCACAAACCGCCAAGTAAACCAACCAGTGAGAACTTCATGCATTCGCATAAGGTAGGGTATGAAACTTTCATTGCGTGTCTTCTACACATTTAGTAGCGTGTCATGTCAACGCCAAGTTTTCAATGATAATGCCACCTTCAATTTAAACACATACATAGCGAGGCGTTGCATGTTAAATACCCATGCAAGGAATCAAATATTTTACTTTCTCTCCTTCACAATTCCTTAGCATGGAAGAATACAGGGGAGTGAACAAGTGGATTAATCATAATTTCTATTCCAATTTGATTAGAAACCTTGTTATGCACTTTTCAACGTGATCAGGTGTATCAACTACAAAGATTGCAAGGAAAAATATGACGTCAATTCAAAAACAACTTACAGATTTTCCCATTACCTATTCGCCACCAATGTTAATAAGTATTTAGTTAATTCAAAGCAGGAGAACGTAAAAGTATCTTACTAAATTAACTTATTTTCTTATCGTTTCATAAAAGCAGCATACTTCACTCAATGGGCCAACTTGATGTGCAATAGATGAAACAAGTTCCTGGCATTTGCCAATACTCAGAATGTTAAGACAACCAGTGCGCTCATGCGATTTACCCTAAATTGTTCAATAAGTTCATGAAAAATTGTTCTTAGAATGAGAAATTTTTCGCTTTGAGGTAGATTTTAAAATAGCACACATTAGCTGCTATATATCTCTTGGTTAAATTAAAAAGTAATTCTTTAAAGCGCATCATTTTAGAACTTTCTTGAGCTATTTTAAACTTGCAGACTATTTGAGTTGATATTTTTTACTCGCATTCACTCTTCTTAATTAGCTCCACTAAACAACAGCTAAGCCTCAAATGGTAGAAAAACAATATTCTGTATTTTAAATACTTAATCGTCATATCTATACTTCTACATTCTCAATAGAATATTAGCCACCATTCCGTTGTTTCAATTGTGTCTTGATTCCTCAAATTCACATACCTCTGTGTGATCTTTTCACTTTCCCTACACTGACATCACCTCTATTTTTAGAGTACATCAAATAGACGACCAATCTCAACTCCACATAGTCGGATTTTGCCGTCAGCTCCCATCTTCCTGCGGCTCTTCAAATACTCAGCTTTGCGCCCCTCCCGTCCTGCCCCTAAAGGCGACTTATAACTGAACTCTTTGTTTGCTTATTGCTCTTTATGGTAGCCCTGTATTCATTAGACTCTCGAAAAGATTATTCGACTTACCGCTAATGGAATTAGCAAAGGCCATGACAGTAATGCCAAGAATGGCCTCACTTATCTCCCAGACTATTCCAAGGGCTTCGAGTGAGTTCACAAGTTCATGCGCAATTGCGTAGATCCAAACAATTGAGGTGAGAAATCCCAGAATAGCAAAGAAGGGTCGGTGATAGGGTACAGGTGCACGATCCCATCTCGAAGTTACGAAAATGGTGATTGCCAAACTGGAGGATATTAATAGAACTATTACCACCACTGGGAGATTTGAATTTCCAATTTTGTACAAGCCCAGTGGCATACCTCCAACTTAAGTTAACAAGAAGAATATACACAAATAGAAGTTGAATTTCTGGATAAGGCTAATAAAATAGGGAAACTGACCTGTGATAAGGAGCACCCAGAGCATCGGAGTAATTAAGCACTGGAAGCAATTGAGGAGTCGACACCAGCCATGCAGATCATCAATATCCACTGAAGATAAATCAATATAGGATCTACTTTCATCATTTAACTCAGCAGTGATTTGAGATGCATGATTATGTGATACACCTGCATTACCAGCTAATTCTGTGTCCCCAGAAAAGGTCGGTAAAATTACATCACTTATAACTCCTTCTTCATTTCCATCTCCGAACATTTGAATTTCACTATCACGAGCTGGTTGGTGACTAGGTTCAAGATCCTCATATACTACAGGAATAGTCAAGCTGAAGAGAAGAAAGATGGGAGCTTGGATGATTTGGATGAGTTTAACTGGAATGGATAATTCATGCCATTCAGATATATCAACTGGACAGAGGGTGTATATGAGATGATGCCACATGCCTTTCTTGGCCCACTTGAGAAAGGGATCAGCATATTTCGCATCTTCACAGTCTCCTCCCTCATTCAAAGACTTGTCTGCATCTGCTTTTACTACTCTTTCCTCTACATTGTCAACGATTCGAACTTCCATTTCCCTATCAAGATTCTTAGATCCAAGGCTGAGTCTAGAATCTGAATCAGCAGACACATTGAAATGTACGTCATGACTGTTTTTGTCTAAATCTCCCAAATCTGGCAAAGAAACTGAGGAGATTCTCTGAAGTCCTTGTTTGCTAGGCTGGGAATGCCGATGTTGATCTGGAAGGAATCCCCGAGATGAAGGATCATCAATAAACGATACTGCGGGACTTCGAGACTGCGATGCATCGTGACTATATGTATGAAAGTCTGAAATTTCGCCAGATTGCGTGGCATCGGATATATTTCGATATCGGTGACGCATATCTAGATTTCCTAACAGTTTGCAGAAAATTATTATTATAATATTGAGTTGCAGTAATTACGATATCTCGAAACTTACTTTTCAGACTTGGATCGCGCGCACTTTCGTCATATCCATAAGGCGGGATTGCTGAATCTTTTAAGTAAAATTAATATTTATTGAGTTGGTTATTCCTGATGGGCAAGTCTTACATTGGTGGATTTTCCGAGTAAAAGATTAAGATTAGCCAATTTTTATTATTAGCAGTAAATTAATTCAATCAATAACTATAAGATTGATCGGACACTAATGACCCATAAAAAGTCAAATGAAAAATAACTTACTATCTCTGTGTTCGTCATTTTCTTCATTTGCTGCAAATAATAAAAAACGAGTAGTTACTTACCCTTTTTAACATTATAAAGTCACTAACGCCGGTTAAAAATTCATTCTATCCTCAAAAAAGTATGAACGACAACTGCATTAGTCAAAAATTACACCCAGTAAAGCACTGGACACGTAGGTAAAAATTTATGCGGTTTTATTTTATGATGTTGATGAAAGAACTCTATAGGCTGAAATTTGGTAGACAAGGCCAATTATTATTCCCTTTGCAAAATGTGAACCATGGGACAATTATCTTGTTCACTTGGCCTAGATTGAATTGCGTAAATGCTAGAACATGACTTGTCGCTCAATTAATACTAAAGAGGCTTCTTGAGCGTAGATCCTATTTCAAATTCAGAAAGAAAATTTTTCCGAAAAGTCCTTTATTTTTGAGCTGTTTGTTACAGACGGGTAAAACAGACCCCAATAGACTAGCACTTTCTGCATTGACACAATACGAAGCAACCTATCTCTTTTCTCCATTCTAAATTCAGAGTACTTAGAGCTAGCAATTTATGATGCTGTGATTTTTGAGTTTGGTTATCACAAAGTACACGCTTGGCGGAGTAATACTGTTGATATTCTAGTTTGCAGTGGAAGTTACTCTAACCGTGGCCCACAAAGATACTTACCAATGATCCATCTGACGACGAATGGAAGTTGGTCCATTGTACTCATCCTTCTGCTTCCATGTCTTTGATAAATACTTGGGGTTCTAGATCGCAGGCCGATTCCTCCCACCACCGACCTTTTCCTAAATGAGGATGAGCCAGCGGTCATTGAATGAGATCCTCCAATAGCTGACCCCCTTCGAGAAATACACAGAGGAGGGGTACCTTGAGGTTGTGGAGAAGAAGAGTGATGAGATTGTTGAGAGGGAAGTACAGATGAGACATGAGGGTCCCTTGGAGGTGCCAGAGTCACTCTAGTGGGGCCAGGTAGAGGTGAAGGGGATTTCGTAAGAGTGGAAGATCGTCCACTTGTTATACCGTCAGTTGGCGGCCCAGTTACTTCGATACGAGGGAAACACTGAGGTGAAGTGCGTAAGTTGCCACCGTTACGATTTGTTCGCTTTGAGATGCTCATGGGATCGGGTTTCCGCCGAAATCCAATAATTTTAACTGAACATAAAAGAAAATGGATAAATTTGTATTTATACGGATTTTCAACAATGCGAAAATGAACCAGAGCAACAAGGAGTTTAAAAATACTCAATTTACTTTCTTCCACAATATCGATAAGAGAGTTTCAGTTCATGTTAACTTACTAACAACATTAATCTGACGAACATGGGTATGTATGATCCTATTTGATTACATATAGATTATTATAAGCCATTTTAATCAACTTTTTCCAATTAAGAGCGAACAATTCGCATTTATGTGTCTTTACCTAGTGCATTTTGCAAGATTGTCACTACGTCAACTTTAATAGAGCCCCAAATTTCGACAAGTTCCCGCTCTATTGCTATTCATTAACGGACTTATCTGCGTGACCGGTCATTTACATCACCGATGAGAAAGATCATACAACGTCTGGTTGTTACTACGGTTCAATGCACTTCGGAAACTAGTATTTAATCTTGAATGTTAAAACAAAATAAGATAAATACATCATCAATTTTCAGCTTGATTAACACTTTCTTCCTCTAAACAATACGCATTTTACTATTCTAACTTTCACGTTTTCACGATTTTTGAAAAAGCTAGTTAGATAGGCTGCATATATATTTGGATAAGAGGGGTGTGCGATAGACTTACCTCCACGTGGTGCACCCTGGGCAACGTATAATCATACGCAAAATAGTCTATCAAACCGGCTGTTGACTTCTGACTTCAAACTACCATCGCCCCAATGTATGTCATATTCGAATTCTTCCACAATACTCATCTCGTCTTTTTATACCTTTGTGTCTGTCTCTTTTACATCTTTGAAACACTCTTCTGTTCCCTCCCCAACCCCTCTCGACTTTTTTTCCCTTTGATGTTCCTCCTTCCCCCCTGTGAAGCCTGAATTCAACTAGAGGGTTAATGACAACCATCAAAACGCCCGCCATTTGACATAAATAAATGTTTGAATAAGCTATGTAAACGCACCAAATTGACATTTGTACGTGTATGAGACTAATTGACCTCATTTTGAGTAGTGACTTAGGAAAGATTTACTTGAATAAATACGTAGAAATCTGGCAGACTTATGCAAATATGCTGGTTTTGTTTTGTTAAGGGTTCCATATTT